TCCTCACCTCCAGTTTAAATTAGTTCTAGTCCCGGGCTCCTCAAGCTACTCTCAGGAAGGCTTTTCTGATTAGTATGTTTGGGAAAAGGATCTGTGACTCAGCTCCTTCCACTCCTCCAGGATCTGCCTTATTTACAGAAGGTACACATTTTCCTCATGAGTTTGACAGACAGGCTCTGCCTGCCCCTGCAGAGAAACCTGTGGCTGTCCTGCACATTTAGAGATTTGTTGGGTAAGTTCATCAAATCTGTATGCCTAATTCTGGAGTAGTGTTAGAAACCATTATTATTGCTGCACACCCTTCAACCTAAGCCACATCCTTCAACCTAATCTTTATCAGTAATAAAGGTAAAATATGTAAGAATATTTATATCAATCTGCCTTTCAGTTGGTTCCACACTTAGGCAGGAGATAAACGGGTTATTTATTGTCCCTCTCCATCAATACCGTTATTGCTGTTTTACAGAAAAGGATATTTAGGCTTAGAGACACTAAGTAATTTACCCAATTGGAAGTGGCAGAGTCAGAGTTCAAATTCATATTCATTTGATTCCAGAATTCATATCCTTTTTAAATTAAATGTATTGGATGACATTGGTTAATAAGATTATATAGGTTTCAAATGTACATTTCTATGATACATGATCTGTATATTGCATTGTGCCCAACACCCAAAGTCAAATCATCTTCCATCACCATCTATTTGGCCCCCTTTATTGTCCCCACCCTTCCCTCTGGTAACCACAACACTGTTGTCTGTGTCTACGAGTTTTAGTTTTATGTCCCACATATGAGTGAAATCATATGGCTCTTAGCTTTTTCTGACTTATTTTGCTTAGCATGATATTCTCAAAGTCCATTCATGTTGTCTCAAATGGCCATCAGATATAGAAAAAGATGCTCAACTACACTAGCCCTTAGGGAAATGCAAATCAAAACTCACACCTGTTAGAATGGCCATTATCAACAAGACAAGTAATAACAAGTGTTGGAGAGGCTGTGGAGAAAAAGGACCCCTCATTCACTGCTGAACTCGCCTCCCTGATGTTCTCCCAACTCCTCAACTGTGCTCTCACCTCCAAGCTTTTATACTTGCTGTTCTCTCTGCTTGGAAACCTCTTCTGCCAAATGTATACATAGTTTCTTGCTCTTCAGGCTTCTGTTCAAATATCACCTTATCAGATAAACCTTCCCTGTCAACACTATATAAAAAAGCTTATACACTCCCATCATTCTCTGCCTCCTTACGCTGTGTTTTTCTTTTTAGCACTCATCAATTATATTATTTGTTTATTATCTGTCTCTCCTCCCACCCTCCAGAATATAAGCTCCAGGCCATCAGGGCCTTGGCTAATTTTGTCTTCACTGCCTATAATAGTGCATGGTACATAGTAAGTACAATAGACTGCTGGTTCCTTAATGCATAAGATTGAAAGTAAGAACAAAAAAAGCCTACATAATGAGACACAACCCCAAAGCAATCTGTATAATCAAGACATCAACAAATGTTTAATAATGCTTTTAAAAAAAAAAAAAAAAATGCATACCTTATTCCTGATCTTTCTAGCAATTATTATTGGCCAAAGCCTTAGGTCACGAATCTTGGAATGTTTAGTTCTCCGAAGGAAGGAAAAATCAGTTATAAATGAAAAAGTTCAGCCTCTAATATTGAAAGCATCAAAGCTTAAAAATTTAGGCAATCAATATTTTATAATTCAGTTCAAAACTTGATCCAGTTTAAGGCTTTAATATAGGATCAGAAGTTCCTTCTTCCTCTTATGTTTTTCAGCACCACCTATCTTTCGTTTTCCTTGGATGCCTTCCCTAGAGAAGACAGTCTGCATTAATGAAGGCTTTGAATTAGAACGCCAAAGATAGTCCAGGATCTGAGTGGAAATTGATGTTTTTCTTCACAAATTTCTAGAGCTGATTAAACCTGACCAGAAATGATTCTTGTGCTACTTGTAAAGATCTAAAGGGCTACCATATATGTCATTCCACATGTCTCACAGGACTGTATCATCTATAGGGCACAAATAATCTTGAACATTGTGTTATAAATTATACATTTGAGACCCTTTAGTAAAGTTAGAATGATTATTTCATTAAATTAGAGAGTAAGGAAGATTAGCAACTTAAGAAATATCTAAAAGTAAACATTCCCAAAGCCTGCAGTGTCCAAGTGCTCAGATCTCAAATTTTTAAGTAAATATCAGGATCTTCATTAACATAGGCTTTTCCAAGACACACACACGCTCCAAGAATCTCCAATAAAGCAATCCATTTTTTTCCTTAGGTACTGAAGTAATCAGGTCAGACCCCCCTCACAAAAAAAAAAAAAAAAATTGCACAAAAGAAAGGATTTCGGATAGGATGTCATATATAATCAATCAACATGCAACTTCAGAACATACAAATCAGTAAGTCCTCAGGTGAATCAAAAAGGATGTAGGACACCAGAAATATAACTGAAAATTTGCTCCTAGTTTTCACACACTCCACCACTAGTAAATACATAACAGGGTATAGAAAAGGCATTTAAATTATTCCTTCAGTGAACTTCAACAGCTTTACAAACAAGTACTAGATGGCTATCTCTGCTTTCCAGAAAGTTATTTCTATTATTAGGGAGAAGTTAAGGCACACAGAGGTCAAGAGCCAAATCCAAGTAGAGCTTTAGCTAGCAAAGTGTGTTAAAATGACATGCAGGTGTACAAGAGTGGCATATATTGTTAATTTTATCAAACAATCTGAATCTCTGAATAGTGAGCTAGGGGAGAGTACTAAATAGAAAGATATCTTTATTCTCACACTAACTCCCCCATTTTTTAACCACGATTCCTCTCCCTCTCATCCTCTCTCACAGCCTAACTGCACATTTCCACTGTCAAAGCCACATTAAAGGATGAGCAAAAGACCACAATCGCCGGGTTAATCTCTGACACAACCACTGATCAGAGCATGCTCCTTGAGTCCCACCTCCGGCTCCACAGTCTAAGTGGAGTTTGGGAAAAGAGAGAGCTCAAACAATGTTCTTGTCAGCACTTTAAACAAAAAATCCATTCAATGAGAATGGCACCATGTTCCTTTTGCCCTTTCTCCCTAGGAACTAAATTAAACAGATTACAGACAGTGGCAAGAGCTAGCCTTAGAACAGCCTCCCCCTTATTTGTTATTTTTAGCAATTTAGTCCGACAACGCCTGACAACGAAACATGCTTAGAATAGCTAAAAGGAGGGGGGGATTATCAGATACCACCAGCAAAAAAACACCAGTCATCACTTCCTCCAAACCTAAGAAAGAATCATTTTCCATGTCTTTATAGCATCACACAGAGTTTGAGCTTTCAGAGTCTTATATAAAAACAATACACATAAAACATCATGGAAACTGATAATGCTTCCTGACCTGGAGTACTGTTCCACCCTCACATGTGTTTTCTTAAAAACAAAAGCAGAATAGAATGAACAAATTGCTTTAACACAAAAGTTGTACAATGCATCTGTGTCCATTTTGGAAAAATTCCTCACAAGAAGTTTGGATTAGAAGATATCTATGGTCATGTACCCAAAAGAATGGCTTTATGAATAGTTATGGAGTTCTAACATTATACTGATGGCAGTTGAGAGATTTTTGTTTGAAAGCAAGACAAGGTGAGGTGAGAGAAACTACTCTTATTAACTGTAATTAGCTAAATAGCATCATTTATACACACTGTATTTATAAGTGAAATAATGTAGTGAAATTTCTGAGAAATGAATAAAATGGTAAAATAAAAATCATAAAGCCCTATGTATAACTACCTGCAACAGATTAAAATTCATAAAAATATATACTACAAAATTCAATAAAATACCATTTATAAAATGTCCATGTATACTCAAGGAATGTAATAATTTACCAACATTTTCTGAACATTTTTGCCACTATTCTAAGTATCACATATTTTATAAGAGAGTAGAGTTTGATAAAGCACTACAAATAAATGTAATAATGTCTTCCTATGTATGTTATTTTAATTTATGTATGTGGAATTAATAAGATATTACCCAGCTCTATCCAAAATTATCTCTAAAACAGGTGATGCCTAATATAAACTACCTTTAAGCCATCGCATGCACATCTCTGAGATTTCGCTAATTTAAGCTACTACTACAAAAACATCAAAGGAGATGCTGTCACCTTTTATTACATTTTAACTGGCAAAGCTGTAGGAAGACTAGTTTTATTTTAGCTTTAGAAACAGATTCCAATTAACTTTTTAAATTAAGGTAATGGTCTGGACATAAAAGAAAACTGTTTTATTTTGCCTCCCTCCATCTTTTCATTTGAAGGGGCATTATTGCTCCTAAAGTGGCAACTCATAAAAGACCAAGGCTATAATGATAAACTTAATAGAAACGGCCCTAGATATCTTCTAATCCAAACCTCTTGCTTTTACAAATTAGGACACTGAGGTTTACAGTAGAGTGAGCATGTCAAACTCGTGGCTGGTTTGACATGCTCAGAGTAGAGCAAGGGCTAGAATCCAGAACTCCTAATTCAACAGAAGGTATTTAAATAGGCATTTAGGGTAATGAATGCCCTGCTTTAAATCTAGTAGACTTGGAGATCTCTATTTATTGTTCAAATATCAGTTTGGATCTTGTTTTTCTGAGCTGACAAGGACAGTGTGCTCATTAATCAGGTGTGGCCTTGTCCACATTTAGTACAGAACAATTCACTAATAGATACTTACTTCAGATTAGAGGAGACCTGTGATTTATGGCTCAGAGTAAGAGTTGTAAGATCGCAGGTACAGTGTACTGATCAACTTCATCTTACCTTCTAGTTATAAGAACAGGGAGGCATGCAATAAATAAACATGAAAGAAAATTCAAAGTCTAACTCATCAAAAGCAATCATTCTCTAAACAGACTGAAAATGACCAGAGGAACTCTCAAGCATGGGAGGAAGGGGGCTAAGGACAAATATTTATGGTAAGGCAGAAAATTATAGACCATATAAAGCAGGCAGTATCGAAGGTTGAATTCAACAAGCCTCTGAAGCATTCAAAGGGATAGTCTGGTGTGGGTAAGACAAGTAGTCCAAGGAAGCAAATCAAGGATCCCTGGGAATGTATCCTGGAAGAAAAGAATAATCAAATCAAGATGCAAAAAAACTGAACTCTGGGCTAATTGGAAAGCTGAACTCTGGGTTAATTGGAATGCAAATCCTTTCTTTACCTTAATCATAAAATGAAGGTGCACATCAATGAACAGCAAGGGAGTGTGTGTGTGAAATCTCTGTAACATATTTTACAGAGAAATAAGAAAGGCTGTCTAGCTAGTTGGGCAAATCTATTTGAATTATTTGCATCTAAGTTCTCACCAGACCTGAAATATTTATATTGAGGAAATTAAGTATATCATAGATAGTTTACATTTGGGCAAATCAGCATTTGGATCATAACACATATACACTGACCAAGGCATTGATAATACAGGGGTGGACAAAAGTAGGTTTACAGTTGTGAGCACACAAAACACAGAGTTTATTCTTGTATTATTATTATTATTATTATTATTAATTATTGTATTATTTATTTGTATTACAAATGGGAACCTACTTTTGCCCATTCCTTGCAGAACCAATAAAGAATATTCACATCTGCCAAAACCGGTTTGGCTCAGTGGATAGAGCCTCGGCCTGCATAGTGAAGGGTCCCAGGTTCAATTCCGGTCAAGGGCATATACCTTGGTTGCGGGCACATCCCCAGTAGGAGGTGTGCAGGAGGCAGCTGGTCGATGTTTCTCTCTCATCGATGTTTCTAGCTCTCTATCCCTCTCCCTTCCTCTCTATAAAAAATCAATATAAATATATTTTTTAAAAAAAGAAAAAAGAATATTCAACCAGAAAAAGAGCATATGGGCTTTTTTGGACTCACGCCTATTCTCTGAAAGCCACAAAGGATTACATAGCTACATTAAGCCCTAAGACACCAGGACATAGAGAATATATATAGTTCACTATTAACTCTAGTTTCCAACCATTAGGCTCTGTTAGACTTAAGTCTTAAATAACTAAAAACTATTTTTAAAACATCCATTTTTATAAATGTTGAGAATGCAAATGAACTCCATGAAGAAATGAGTATTCATATCTGAAATCCCAATGTATGGGACAATAAGAGAAACTTCAACAAAGACTCCCCAAGTCTAAAAAACAGAAGAGAGATTAATTTACTAACTTGCAATTAGTTTTTTAAATTAAAAAAAAAAAAAAGACACTCAGTGGTATCTAACTATCTAGCTGCTACTGAAGATGGGAAGTCATCAAGCTAATTTTTAGAGTAGAAACATGTAGACTTCTCTCCAGGACTCAAACTTTCCTGGGTTGAAGTGAGAGAATGTCTGAAAAAATAGCTCCCCTCATCAAAGGCTCAGAGTTTGTTAAACTGTGCAAACATTCTATGAGAACATCTTGACTTGTTAAGGATAAAAATGGACTGTCTGGGAAGATAAACCGTGACACATCTATATAATAGAATACCATTATTAGCAATGCAAATGAAAAAATCAGAGTCTCCAGTAACATGGACGCTCTTCACAAACAAAAGAAGGCAAAAAATATATCTAGTGATTTTGTTCATATAAAGTTCAAAAACAGGCAACATTAAATTATACTATTTTGGGGATACACATATAGGTAGTAAAACTGTATTTTTAAAAAGGGAAATAATTACACTGTTGAGTTTTCTGTACATAAAAGTAATAAATTTTCCTTAAAAAAAAAGAAAAAAGAAAAAATTATCACAAAAGTTAGGGTAGTAGTTGGGAGGGGAGCGGGCAGGGATAGCATTGTGATCAGGAAGGGAGGGGTGAGGAGGGGCTCTGGTGTCCTGCCAGGTTTTTATTTTGTGGCCTGGATGATTGTTACGGGTGTTTATTTTACAATTATTGACTAAGCTATATGTATTTTAATCTATATTTCCATAAATACTATATTTCACTACAAAATAAATGAACTTTTTAATGGGTTCAAAACTTTAAGCTATGCAAGCAGATGAACTATAAGGTTTAATTCTTGTTTAATGTATAAAAAACATTCTATCACTGGCTCTGCTCTCACCTGCCCTTCTCTCTCCATTGAAAACACAGACAAGAATCAGTGCCCATCATATCATAGTGTCCACTTAACATCACCTCCAAGGTGGCTCCCATCATATGCATTACAGAACCACCTCTACAATAAAGTATCTTAGGGCAAAAACTGGACATCCATCCAAGTACCTACCAGTCACCACCCATGCTATGGAAAAAATGATGCTCAATAGGCAAAGTAAAATCTCAATCATGAGAACTCCTCCAAAACATTTTCTCATCAGTCTCAGAACTCAGCCAACTGCAAAGTGTCACAGGCACCTCCTATCCAGTTCTCTTGCCACTATTCTTCCTACTTTTTTCAGGAACCACTGCCTAACCAAAATTGTCATTTTTGTGAAAGTGTCAGGATTTGCACAGTTTCTTAGATTTTACTTATATCATGGGCTAGAGAGCTATTTCACAACCCTGGCTTTGTAACAGTTTGCGTCAAAAGTGGCACTACGCAGGCCACAATGTCCTGAGTTTCCTTATTCTTATTTTTATTCTGTCATTGCTGAGCTAACCAGGGTGGTGAAACCATGTCAGAGGCAGAGAGGAAGGAAAGTAGTCAACCAGTACTAAAATACTATGTACCTAAAATACTATGGAGGCTTCACTACAGGCAGACGAGCCTGAAGCAGAACCTGTTTGGCCCTTGCTCTGGAACAAGAGAGAGAACATAAGAGTATGGTGGACAAAACGTGTTCAAATACATCACTGAAAGCTTAGTTATCTCAAGGATTCCAAATAGCTGAGAGTCATAAGGCAAGGGGTCAAAAATTGAGTGGTAGCTCATTTGAATGCTGAATCTAAGTTTTCCTAATTGCAAAAGAAGTCCACATTACCCGCCAAAAAGTGAGCAAAAATATAAGATGTATTTTTCACTCTATACTAGTATATCTCCTAATCTATCAATAGGTTTTAATTCAACTTTAAGTAAAACTGCCCTGGACAGTTGTTCAGTGGTTAGAGCGTCGGCCCCCAGGACCAAAGGGTTCAATTGCCGGTCAAGGGCATGTACCTCGCCTACAGGCTCAATCCCCATCCCGATTTCGGGGTCTGGCTCGGGTCTGGCTTGGGTCTGGCTCAAGCAGGAGGCAACCAATCGCAACCAATCGATGTGTCTCCCTCATGTTAATGTTTCTCTCTTCCTCTCTCTCCCTCTCCTCATCTCCCACCCTGTCCCTCCCCGCCCCTTTCTCCTTCTCTCCCTCTCTCCCTCCCATCTCCCTCTCTTTCACTCTCTCTAAAAAAATCAATGGGAAAAATATCTTTGGGTGAGGATAAAAAAATAAATAAGTACAACTGAGTTTCCTCAAAAAAAAAAAAAAAAAAAAGAGTTCTCTTTGTAGCATGCTATACATTTCAAAGAGAAAATTATTTTTACAAAGACAGATAAGACTCAGAGTCATAATTCCAAATCCCAATTATATTCATCTCATTTTTAAAAATTATGCTTTGTTCGTTTTTAATAATAACATACTGTATTATGCAGTATACACTCAGCCATCTTCTTTAAAAAGTTTTATTATCAATATTTTTAAAAATAGAAAATTCCCTCAATGACAAACAACACATTTACTCTATCATACTAAAGGGTATTTTCCCTTGACTAGAATCAATCAGCATTACTGATCTAATCACTATTAGGATGAAATGGTGATATTCCCTCCCAGAATCTGATCTATCACCTTTATAAAGGAAAGATAAAAATCTATTTAACATTATCATATTGTGAATCTGTTATGAAAATATTTCCTAAACAAACCCACTTAAGTGATTATAGTCTAAAGAATAACTTTACATAGGGGTAATAAAATGTAAATATGGAGTTTTAAAAAGAAAAACAGTAAGACTAGCTTTCCAAGGTTAAAACAGGACTTGTCCTCACTTTTCTAGTAAGTAATATAACTCCCTCCCAGGGGTACATGAGGGCAGTGTTATAGTACCCCCACCTCTGCTACGTAAGAGGAAAGGGCCAGCAGGTAAGGCCACAGTTGGGTGACAATGCAGGCACAGCACAACAGATTAACAAAAGTTAGACAAATTCTCGGTAAGCTTTGCACTATAAATAAAGACTAGGGGGAAAGATCTGGAGAGGGCAAACCTAAAGGAACAGTAAGAACAGACGTGAATAAAAGGAAATCTATGAAGTACTCATGGAAATGGGCTCTCAAATTAGAGACCCTGAATCAAGACCAGCACCAGGTCATAGAAAAGGAGGCATTCACATAGCAGGCCAAGCTAAATGCTTTGATCAGAAACTGGACCTATGTGCCCTGGCAGGGTAGTTCAGTTGGTTGTCCCAATACACCAAGGAACACATATAAGAATCAGCCAATGAATACACAGCTAAATGGAACAACATTTCTCTCTCTAAAATTAGTAAATAACATTTAAAAGAAAAGAAACTGGACCCATGGACTCAGACCAAAAACAACCTTACCCCTTCAGAGATGAATAAGATGCTAAACAGAAACAGTCTGGCCCTTGTTTGCAGAGTTATGTATACACTGTACCTCCCCAATTTAAAAAATATGTTTTTATTGATTTTAGAGAAAGAGGGATAGATAGAAACATTGATGAGAGAGAAATATCGATTGGCTGCCTCCTCCATGGCCCCCACCAGGGATTGGGCCAGAAATCCAGAAATCCGGGCATGTGCCCTGACTGGAAACTGAACTGGGAACACTTGGTGCATGTGTCAGTGCTCAATCACTGAACCACACCATCCAGGCATGCCTCCCAATTTAATTGTAAGGAATCTGAGGGCAGAAATTAACATGCGAATGATAACTAAACAGGGTTAAGACAAAACAGGTTAGACTGGCAAAAATACTGGGGCCCAGAAGAAGAGACTGCATATTTGAAAGGAGGAACAACAATTGGTATGCTTTGGGAAAAACTATTTAGAGCTCTGAATCTATATCTAGTTTCGCAAAGTAATAGGAAACCATAGTTGTAATTATTTCAACTAGTAATAGCTCAAATGCCCAAATTCCCACATTGCGCTATAAAACTAGGGAGAAAAAGGAAAAAGCACCCAATTTAAAATTGAGGAATCAGAAAATGGTTCTCAAGAGAAACAGCCCTAAACTAAGATCCTAAAGATTAACAGACGGAGCTGGTGGTAAGGGCAGGAAGAAGTTCCCAGTTAGAGGGAACTACTTTTACAAAGACCTAGTAGAAACATAGAAAGCACAGCAAGTTCTAAAAACAGAATATTTCTGCATGGCTGAAGCATACAGTGTAAGAGAAAGCAGAGGAATGAGAGAGATGAGGAAAATAAATAGGAGTAATTTCATAAAGAAACTTAAAGGTATATTTAAGTTTGAACTTTTACTCTAAAAACAATGATGGGTTTTACAAAGAGGAGTGATATTGTGCCAGGATAGTAAGAAGCTAGGAAAATTCCTGGACAAGTGGAATGGGGAAACTGAGACAAGAAAATTAAACAAGGCCAAACAGTGGGGCAGTTTGCAGCCAGCTTGTGAATTACAAGACTTTATCTTTCCCAACCAAGGGCACTTAGAGCAAACGATTTATACCTCTCCTCCCTGACAGAGCATATATAGCTTAAATCACCCTGGCCTGGGAAAATAAGAGAACAAAGATCCAATTAATGGCATTTGTGCCAGATAAACCCAAGGACAGATGAAGTCTGGGGGACAAATAACAAAAACCCCAAAAGCATCTGGTTAGTTGGGATAAATGTAAGGCAGGATAGATAGCTGCTAGGGCAGGAGGAAGGGAAAGGGGTTACAGGGGGGAGTTTATCTCACCTACTGAACAAAAAAGTCAGCAGTCTTGGTACTTCCAAGATAGAATCACCAGATGTTCTCATACATTCTGGGAAAAGCTACAACAATGTAAAAGGGGAACCTTAAAATCTAGTCCGCCTGGCAAGGGAACCTTGAAACCTATGGGGGGGAACTTGAACCCCTACCAGGTGTGGCATTCAAACTATCTGAGTTGCCCGCTTATGCTTTATGCCTAGTGTATTCTTAATAAATCTGCTTGCTTTTTGCTTCCTTAATAAAGTCACTTGCTTTGTTCCAACACTGCTTTCTGTCACTCATCTGAATTTTTTCTCAGGATAATGACAAGCACCATGGAAGGGCCCAGCCAGCATGGCTCAGTGGTTGAGCTTCGACCTATGAACCAGGAGGTCACGGTTCGATTCCCAGTCAGGGCACATGCCTGGGTTGCTGGCTCGATCCTCAGTGTGGGGCATGCAGGAAGCAGCCAATCAATGATTCTCTCATCATTGATGTTTCTCTCTCTCCCTCCCTCCCTCTCCCTTCCTCTTTGAAATCAATAAAAATATTTTTTTTAAAAAAGAAAAAGAGCCAAGGAAGGATGAGCCCCTCCAACTCATCTAATCTAAATATGTTAAAAGGACTGGAAGGGGGAAAACTGGAGATGGAAAAACCAGTTAAGAATCTACTGCAGATGTGGGGGTAGCTGGTTTAAAGGTGGGAGGAAAAATTCCTGAAGAAAATACCATTTAATAGAGAAAACAGGAAGGTAATATTCAGAGATAATAAGAACTTTCCAGAATTGGTGGAAGACACTAATCCTCAGATTCAGAAAACTCAACTTAATCCAAGTAGGACAAAGGAAAAAAATAAAAAGACTGAATTCATACCTACACATATCCCAGAGAAACTACAAAGCATTAAAGAAAAAGAGAGAGGGGGGTCAATAGAGGGGGGAAAGAGGGGGCATCTGTAATATGTTCAACAATAAAGATTTATTTTTAAAGAAAGAGAGAGAACATTAAAAGTAGCCAGAGAGTAAATAAACAAAGGAACAACACTTAGACTGATAGATAACTTCTCAATAGCAACAATGGAAGCCAGAAGTCAGTGGAATGTTATCTTTAAAAAAGCTGAAATATTCCTAAACATATAAAGCAAAATGAAACATACCCTCTGAACTATGTGCACAGTAATAATGAGCACTTACAGCACCCAGACAATAGTCTCTAAATACCATTGCCCACTAAACTGAAAAACTAAGGAGAAATTGATAAACATCATCATAGAGGGAGATTTAATACATCTCTCTAAATAACTAAACTAAATAAGCAAAAGAAAATCAAACACTATAATTACCAATGTTTGTGTGTATAAGTGCACATGTGGGTGTGTACACATGCATATATTTCAGTCTGAAGTAACAAAGTTCTAAAGGTATAGCAGTGGAAAAGTACAGGATTGTTTCAGGGAAGACAGAGTATGTACTGGGTGATACTATTAACAAAACATGATAGGGCAGTATTGGAGAGTATACAAAATGTAGAGGTAGGGATCATAGAATAATTGAATGTTGAGGTAATAAGGAACCTACAATGGTAGGAGAAATGAAATACAAGAAATTAAATATAGCCCGGCCAGTGTGGCTCAGTGATTGAGTATCAACCTATGAACCAGGAGGTCATGGTTGAATTCCTAGTCAGGGTACATGCCCAGGTAGCAGGTTCAATCCCCAGTAGGAGGGCATGCAGGAGGCAGCCGATCAATGATTCTCTCTCATCATTGATGTTTCTCTCTCTCTCTCTCCCTCTCCCCTTCTCTCTGAAATCACTTAAAAATTTTTTAAATTTTATTACATATAAACTAAATTTATATCACTAAAGTAGAAAGATAAGTTATCAAATGATGAAAAATATATACAGATTGCTCATTATTTTTTTTTAAAGTGCATATATATGTGTATGAATGTGTTTATAAAATAAAGTTTGGAATGATACACACTACTGCAGAGGTGACATATGGGAGTGTGCAGGGAAGAGGGGAAGGTTATATTTCCATTTTATCGTTTGTTTTCTTTTCTGACTTTTTCATTTCTATAAGCACTTATATTGCTTTTATAATATAAATAACAGTAAAAAGAAAGATTAAAGAGAAAATAACTTCCTAGGGTAGAGACTAGAGTTTAACTGCTAGTTTTTTATAGCTATAATTAGCATTTCAAACAGGTACCAACAAGCCAGCTAATCTACTTCTATTATCTGACAGATATCAGGATACTTAGTATGTGAGATTCTATGAAAGAAATGTTTAGAAAATAAATTTCCTACTACTCATTAGAACTGATAGTATGCTAAAATAATCATCTGTGGCAATTTTTCCTTGACAATTTTTTAAATTATAAAAGTTAACACATAGTTGTTACAATTTATCCAACACAGAGATCATAAGAGAATTATATACACATTATTTTGCATCTTGCTACTAATTCATCAGGACAATTTTTAGGTATATTTACCTACAGTTGCAAAATCACATTTTTTATCTACATGAAACAGTTGTGATTGGAGTTAAGATACAGTACTTTTGTTTGAAAACCCTAGAGAATATAAAATTCTATCTAGAACAATTGGCTGACAAAAATGATAAAACAGGACACAATAACAACCTGATTACTGCAGGAAACAGTTTTTTCTTTTTTGTTTTGTTTGCTTGCTTATTTGTTTTGTTTTCACAATAGATCTTTCTAAACTACAAAACTATTATCAAGTTTGTTTAAATTATCATCAGTAGTCAAACAAAAATCAGCCTAAGTAACCATAGACACTACATGCTCACCCCGGCCACGCCAAGTCAGTGCCCCTGAGAAATCCCCAGCAGGCTGGGGGTGCCTCACCACTCAGCAGAGGGCTGAGTCAGATCTGAACCACTGCCTCCAGTGGTACTCACACAAATTAGATAAAGTGACCTATGAAGTCATTGTATCCACCCCATCTCAGGAAATCTTGTTCCCAAAGAAATAATAACCAGTTTTTTGTCCAGTCCAACTTTTGCTATAAACAGAATGCACCCTTCACCAAAGCCCAAGAAGAGTATCTCATCAAAAGTCTTAATGTATAAGGACATTTTAATAATAAACTTCAATTTTCCTAAGATTTACTAAGCTACTTTTACCTATACTAATCATTTTCCCTACCTAAAAAATAATAATTTGTTTTCCTCATCAGAGCACTATCCTTCAGATAGTTAATTAATTATAGCTTAATAATCAGTCCTTGTCTGATTGTCTAACCCAATCTATGTTAAAGTAATTACAATGTGTAAAAGAGACATACCAGTATATCAAGATCCTTTAGTATTATCATTAGCCATGTTCATACCCTACCAGGTATAATATGTAGTGGTTAAATATATGTTGTGTTATTTTTGTATTTTAAAAACAGATATATTCATTCAAAGGCAAAGGAGAAAATACACTCAGAATAACAGCATCCTATCTTCTTCAAAATTCCCCAGTTTCGCCGAAACCGGTTTGGCTCGGTGGATAGAGCGTTGGCCTGCGGACTGAGGGGTCCCGGGTTCGATTCCGGTCGGGGGCATGTGCCTGGGTTGTGGGCACATCCCCAGTGGGAGATGTGCAGGAGGCAGCTGATCGATGTTTCTCTCTCATCGATGTTTCTAGCTCTCTATCTCTCTCCCTTCCTCTCTGTAAAAAATCAATAAAATATATTTTAAAAAAAAAAAAAAAAAAAATTCCCCAGTTTCTAGAGACTTTTTTGTGTCTTATACACTGCCATTAATTTGACTGCTTCATAGCTCTAACACAATTAGAAAAAAATTACATAATGGCATGACTTTAGCAGGCATACATTTCATTTAATATGACACAATGAGATAATTACTATTTTCTAAAAGTTGGCTACTTACTGTCAATATTCACTCAAAACTTACTTCCAATTCTTTAATTTTTTCCTCTGCTATTTTCTGTTTCTCTAACAGCTGATTGTGAATTACCTCCTTGGACTGAAGAATAAACCTACAAAACACAAAAAAGTTGAAGATGAAGCCACATGACCACTTTATTCATCAAAATCAACAAATATTAAACTAAGAAAGCTAAAGGAACAATCTCCCAATTTAGGACTAATAACATGCATTGTTATGTTAATGTGACAAACTCCAAAAATCACCACAGGTTTAAACCTTCTTGGCAGAGAAGGAATAAAAGCTTAAAAGTAAATTTTGCCTTCTTATCTAAGAAAAGAATCAAATCAGGCTTCAAGTAAATTCATAAATAAGTGGAGAAAACATATAAAGGGATAAAAATCTACTACAGGCTAAGAGAAAAGTTAACAAACAATAAAAATCCCCCATAATTTTTATTTTTCCAGTTATCTGTATCAACTTTTATCTGGATATTTTTTAAACAATATTTATAAATTAGAACTCTCTCTCCAATCTTTTTTTTTATTTTATTGTTGTAACAGCAGTAACTCATGACCTTTTAAAGTCACAATCAAGTACTGTGTTAGGATCAATGCATTAGTGTTTATATGAGTTCCTAACACAAAAAGCACTGTATAAAGTCTAGTATCTTTTATTATTATTTCCAGAGTGTATAATACCTCTGAAAAGCTCAAAATGCACCAGTGGAAAATTTCAACTTTTTCCATTTTATAGTCAGACATATTATTTACAACAGATGAGGGTGGAAATATGGGGAAGCTTTAAAAATTAACACTGAATCTGTTCTGTGACTTTATGTTCATAATTCTTGCTGTAGGGAAAGGAAGAACAAATTACTTTATAGCCTCAAGTAAGTGAACCGAAATACTTCCCTTCTACTGGAACTAGGGGAAAACCTCAATTACTCAAATCTCTTTTAGGACTGTCCTAAAAGTAGGCCAGTGATGGCGAACACCATCACTGAACTAGGCTATAACAGATTTCAATTAAAGATTACAATTAATTAAGTGAACTGTTTCTTCTCTTTGTACATAACATAGGAGTTTCTAACAAAGAACTAAACATCTCTTAATGAAAAGCCAAACAAGAAAACACATCAAAGTAGCAATATGCAGTTTCCTCTACCAACCTCACAAAAACACTGTCTTGATAGGTTCTTAGCAAGAGGGTCTGTTACTACAGATACTAGAGGCCCGGTGCACGAAATTCGTGCACAGGGAAGGGGGGGGGAGGGGGGTGTCACCCTCAGCCCAGCCTGCATCCTCTCCATTCCAGGATCCCAGGGATCAGGCTTAAACCAGCAGTCAGACATCCCTCTCACAATCCTGGACTGCTGACTCCTAATCGCTCACCTGCCTGCCTGTCTGGTGGCCCCTAACAGCCCCCCCTTGCTGGCCTGGTTGCCCCTAACTGCCCCCCCTGCCAGCCTGGATGCCCCCAACAGTTTATTATAAAATAGACTATGTGTTAGATGACTTTGCCCATCTGTAGGTAAGCTAAGCACGGGTAGGCTAGACTAAGCTATGATGTTTAGGTTAGATGTATTAAATGCATTTTCAATTTATATTTTCAACTTAGAATGTGTTTATCGGGACATACCCCATTTTAAGTTGAAGAGCATCTGTATTTGGTACAGTAGTTGTAGAGAAGAGTTGTTTAGAATGGTACTAAGTCTCAATGACACCATGTAAAAAGTATTATAAATCTAGGCCCAAGAGTCACCAAATCAGGTCATTACATGCATGATTTTTCTAAGAAAGTCTTTTAACTATGAAAATCATTTTGTGTGTGTGTGTTTTTTTTAATTTTTTTTAAACCTCACACCCGAGGATATCCCTTCCATTGTTTTTAAGGGAGGTAGGGGTGAGGGAGAGAGCAAGAAACATTGATGTACGGATTAGCTGACTCCTGCACTAGCCCCAATGAGGGCAGGGAACGAACCCCCAACCTAGGCACGTGCCCTTGATCAGGAACTGAATCCACAACTCTTTGGTGAGCAGGCTGATGCTCTAACCACTGAGAAACACTGGCCAGGTAGAAAATCATTTTTAGAGTAAATATACATTTTTAAATAGCACTGATTGCTGGCCAGTGAGTAGTATTCTTAAATAAAAGGTCATTGGACATTATCTTTATTAGTGTCTGGGAAATTTCCAAAGCTAAGATTAGAGGTCAAGCCATTACTTATGTGGCCTTAAAAAATAAATTATCTGAACAGATATTAAATCCCTGGAGCAGAAAATAAAATTACTAGAAAGCAAAAACACTCAACAACCAAAATATGTTTTTCCATGGCCACACATCCCTGAGACAGCTATACTGGACTGTGCCAACCTCAAAGGCCAGAGAGATGTCACCAAAGCTGGCCAATCTACTATAAGCTTAAGGACATCTGAGCAATTAAAGTTTTAAACAAGGATGAGTACTGAGGAAATTCAAATGTCCACCTTAAAAATTACATAGTCAAAATTCAAACAAAAATGTTATGGGAATTTTGGCTTAGTCCTCAAATTTAAAAATGCCAAAGAGCCCTGGCTGGATTGCTCAGAGTTTAGAGCAGTGATGGCGAACCTATGACACGCGTGAACTCATTTTTTTGGTTGATTTTTCTTTGTTAAATGGCATTTAAATATATAAAATAAATATAAAAAATATAAATATTTGTTTTACTATGGTTGCAAATATCAAAAAATTTCTATATGTGATATAGAAATTACTTAACCAGAGTTAAGTTAGGGTTTTTCAAAATGCTGACAGGCCGAGCTCAAAAGGTTCGCCATCACTGGTTTAGAGAGTCGGCCTACGCACCAAAGGGTCGCAGGTTCGATTCCCAGTCGAGGGCATATACCTCAATTGCACACTCGATCCCTGGCCTGGTAGGGGCATGTGCAGGAAGCAACCAATCAATGTGTCTCTCTCATATCGATGTTTTTTTCTCTCTCTCTCCCTCCGCCTCCCTTCTACTCTATCTAAAAACAAATGGAAAAATATCTTCGGGTGAGGATTAAAAAATAAAGATATATAGATAAAAATAAATGTCAATGATACATGGTATATTTCTTGGAAAGGGCCCCAAGAAACATTTGGATTTCTGAAAAAAAGTCTTTAGAACAGCGGTCACCAACCTTTTGGACTTCACGGACCACCAGTTGGCGACCGCTGCTTTAGAAAACACTTTGTCTATTGTTAAAAAGGTACTGAATTATCAGATGCCATTTTGAAGACAAGGGATATATCATGACAATGTAATTATGAGTCATATATCAGAAATAAATATTATGCAGATAGTTCCTCAAAGCAGAGGATCTCACAGAGGTCCTGCCTGATAAGTTTATGGAAAACCAAATGGCAGATTTAAAAAATCTGGAATTCAGAATGTGCCATAAAGGAAAAATAAACCATGAAGAGGGGAATTATTTTTAGATGACAAATGATATGCAGAGAATGTGCTTACCATGCTCGGGATGACATAATCTAGACTAGAGTCACTGCTTCGTAAAAGGCCTCTACTTTGGAAATCAGTGCCCCGTGGCCCTGCACTGTCAGTTCTTAAGGGCTCGTAGCCTGCGGTTCCAGTTCCTCATTTATCTGTAATTATGCCATCCGAAAAACGTAATTTTATGATGGCCTTTGATTTGTTTGAGAAACATCAGAGGCTGTGTTCTGAATTGCCCCGCGGATTGGTACGTGACTTCTTCCACTTTGCACACAAACCCAAAACACAATCCGGGATCAGTGGCAATGATGTTTTTTGGGTACGCTTCCAAAGTAGACACTATTCAGAGACAACAATAGGGTAATGATAATGCCTTCTGTTTGGGTGGGAAATTTTTAGAGGACATCTGAAAACATATTCCAAATAGCACTTAGGGCAGTGATGGTGAACCTTTTGAGCTCGGCGTGTCAGCATTTTGAAAAACCCCAACCTACCTCTGGTGCCGTGTCAGATATAGAAATTTTTTGATATTTGCAACCATAGTAAAACAAGTGTTTATATTTTTGATATTTTATATATTTAAATGCCATTTAACAAAGAAAAATCAACCAAAAAAATGAGTTCGCATGTCACCTCTGACACGCGTGTCATAGGTTCACCATCACTGACTTAGGGCATCCACAAATTAAGTGGCACAGGAAAAGCTGAAGAAGAATGAACTTATCTTGTTTCTTTGCCTCATTCCATGGGCAATGAAAACTACTTGCATGTGCACAAAGATCTACATGCAAAAAACTTTTACATCATAATTTTTAGCAAAAGGAAGGAAGGAAGGAACCTAAATCCCTCAGTAAGGAAACAATTAACAAATTATGGTACACCTATACTGTGGGATGCAGAAGAAAAATAAACTTACCTCTTGTCAGAGTAAAACAGAAGACACTTGTTTATCAATACCTTGGTAATGACATTTTCAAAGTACATACCGAAAGAAACCAGCTATTTATTATTAACACAGCATTACATATACAATGAAAATATCTTTCAAAAATAAAGGGTAAATTCAAACAAACAAAAGCTGATAAAGTTTATTCTAACAGCCGAAACCGGTTTGGCTCAGTGGATAGAGCGTCGGCCTGCGGACTGAAAGGTCCCAGGTTCGATTCCGGTCAAGGGCATGTACCTGGGTTGTGGGCACATCCCCAGTGGGAGATGTGCAGGAGGCAGCTGATCGATGTTTCTCTCTCATCGATGTTTCTAACTCTCTATCTCTCTCCCTTCTTCTCTGTGAAAAATCAATAAAATATATTAAAAAAAAAAAAAAAAAAAAGTTTATTCTAACAAACAAACAAACACCCTAAGAAATGTTAGAGGTAGTTCTTCCGGTAGAAGGAGTATGATAACATATGGCAACTTACAGAGAAATGAAAAGCACTGAAAATAGTATGAATTAAGATGAATATAATAGGCATGTTTTTCTTATTGTTAATCATTTTAAAAGATAGTTGACTTTCTAAAGCAGAGGTTAGCAAACTATGCTTGCAGGCTAATCTAACCATGATCATTTATTTATATAATGTCTATGGCTGCTTTCTCACAACAATTGCAGAGTTAAGAGAGACAACTGTGACAAA